CAAAAAAATATGCATAAAAATCTGAAAAATACTCTGTTTCCTTGGATACGTACCGTTGTATGTAGATTCCCGAAACTTTAATGATTGATATATGTGAACAACTAACCTGACTTTAAATTTTGACTATCACCCAATTTCTAACTGGATGCAAAAAGCTGGCACATAGGGTCTAATATTGACAAAAAATTAACAAAATCGAACATTTTCTCTTCTTGGTAACCATAGCAACAGTGTTGTATTTTTCAACAACCTTTATCAATATATGATATTCAACTTTAGTTCTACGAGATAAATACTATTCAGGGTGATTCAAATAATATTTTTCTTGATTAAAAGGTTAGTAAATTCCTAAAGCAGCAAAAAAATATCACATTAAACAACTAGTACGTTGTTTCCATGGTTACACTGCAAAGCAACAATTAATCTCAATTTTTCTTATGTTGTCGGTGTTGCAAGGTCCTAAGGATGCATATGTGCCAGTCATGAATTTTATTGTTTTTCCTCACGATAGTAGCATTAACCCAATCATAGCAACAGATTTTGCATGGTGACACTGTGTTACCATGGCAACCATGAAAATTATTTTTAGAATAATATTGCCAATACCTAATTACATGAGGTCAAATATTTTTTATTGTTTTTCTTACGTTGTTGATTGAGTTTGATCATGTAACATCTTTCATTTGTGAATATTGAGCGTTTTTCAGCATTTTTCAGCATCTAAAACGTATTTCAAATGTACCCATGGTTACCATTACTTAGAGATAAATTCTAAATAGTTTCTTTATAGCATAAGTGGAAACAAGGTGTCATGTTTTTAGGAGAATGGTTTGTTTGTTTTTCTTAGTCTTTATTAAGGCTTAATAAAGATTCAAAGTAGCTGAAAATCTCAATTTTTTCAACTTTTCTGGCTGTTACCATGGCAACCAAGACCCATAGCAACGGAATTTTATTTGATATATGTTTCTGGTGTCAAGTTGTAATAATAGGCAAAGTTTTATCAAAATCGGTGACCATGCGTGGCAAAGAAGTTCAAGTGGTTACAGAGAATCGCTATTAAGCGTTGACGGACGTTGACCGCTGACGTACTGTGCTTGACTTTGCTTCTGAAATTGGAACACCATATGCAAAGATGGGGAGTATTTTTGAAATATGAGTGTAATATTAAGATAAGTTGATCCGTGTGAGAGGATACCAAGGCTTTTCTTGAGAGAGAAAAGGAGAAAAAGGCAGAATATTCTGTAGAATTACTTAGTCGAATTGAACATGAGGGTGAGATGCTCCTATAACGCTCCTATAATGTGACATGACATACTTAACTTGACGTTACGTAGAAGTCTCCCCCTGATTTTACAACTATCAATGTTCAGAAAGCTCATGTGACCTTATTGGTAATTGGAACATGGTGAAAATATCCAGTATTGTTGCATAAAGACTCCATATTATAAATATGCCTATTGTTTGCTTTCATCAAATCACAATAAAATTTTAGAGATAATTAAATTTCACAAACTTTTGGATCAACCGTCGTATTAGAAAAAAGATGGATCTATTAGATTGAACAGGTTATAATTCACCTGAGTCATTTAAATTACTTATTGCTATCTGTGTTTGTTCAGTCATCATGTTTCAAGTGTTGTCTGTAAACTATTGAACATTTTCAGCTTCTTTTCTGGAACCAGTTTCAACTAATTTCTCAGTTGAAGTATACAGACATAATATAGAAGTGATTTTATTGACTTTCTCAATCTATCCTGAATTTAAAAATGTAAATATAAGCATTTGATTGTAAATATTGAACATTTAGCATCTCATAACCAGAGATGGAAATTACTGACTGCCCGAGGTAGTCTGTTTTTCAGGTAGGCAGGGACAAACTTTAGATTAACCTCGGTGGTCGAGGTCATTTAAACAGCTAGTTCCTGTTTTCCATTTTTTTTTTCAGGGTATAGTAAGTCTATAGAAAATAAGTAAAATATAGTATATCAAAGGAACACTTCTAGTTAAAAATTTGAGTTGACCTTAGGACCAATATTGGTTTCAGTCTTTAGAAAAAGCTTATCTATGTATGTTCCGATCACTGACTTTAGGCCACATGTGTGTAGTTTCTTGTTTCTCATGTATTGCTTTAGTTCTACGTTAATGGTAATCTAACAACCAAGCTTTATGACAAATGAGATGGCTTTAACTTTTCAATTGTCAACTTCCCTTACTTATTTAGCAATATACCTTCATCACCTGCATACAGGGTTTATATCTCTCAGTTGATTTGATACGAAAGAGCATCCTCTATGTTTGAAATTTTTTTAAAACGAGGTAAGTTATTGACAAACAAGTTGCTGAAACAAGAATATCAGCAGTCTTGTTTAAAGTTATCATTTTGTAAATTCTATGGTCGATACAATGACTTTGTCAGCAAATACAATTTATCATTAAGTCAAATGCTGAGTGACGTTTTTCATACTTATTGTTAGGCCATTATTTACACACTGAATTATCGATGGATTTTTCCATTGTTTCCCAGTTGTGACAAGGAGCACATGGCATGTGTGACCGGTCTGCAGGGGATGCTTACTCCTCCATGGCACCTGATCCCACCTCTGATGTTTTGGAGGTCCGTGTTTGCTCTGCTCCTATTTTGTATTTTTTGATGGGCTTTTGAGCTTGAATACTGTTTGTTATCTCGATATATTTCATTCTAGTCAACTGTGTGTTCATATGATCCTACCTCAGTATTTACAGAATTATACATCCTTTGTATGAGGGTCATTCTTGATGTCTGACTGAGTAATGGCAATGGGACATAAAACCTTAACTGACCTTACCACATTCTTTTCTAATCTGAAAACCCTCATGCATTTTTAGCATAACATATCGCCAATGCACACATTTTTCCCAAGGAATGAACTGCATCTACTCTGCATAGAACAGTATCTCTCCCACTGGCACAACAGTACTATTACATGTCATTATGTTCTTGAAAGGAAAACACAGCAGTTATTGCTCAGCAAGATTCTTTTTCCTGACACCTGCAGTATCGAGTAACACAAAGTGAATGATTAGTGTCCTCGAACAAAGTGTGCTTACAATGAGGTATAGTTCCGGTTGATTGCATTTAGTTAAAGAGAATTTATGATCTGCATTTCTGTAGATGTCTTTTATATCAACACCAAACATGCATTTAAGGAAGAAAATATAAGTAAAATGCAAAAGCCTGTATAAAAAAATCAAAGTGCAAGGACAAGTGCACTTAAGGAATGCTTAATGGGCCCTTTTTCAGTGCTGTATTACTTTAGAATATATTACCAAATTGTTCTCTTTTAGTAATAGTTAAACACAAGTGGACATTTCTAATTAAAATCACGCTAAAACATCAATCAGCATGGATTTGAAACAAATGAAGTTTTTTAAATGCCTATAGATCCGGAAAGTCATATCAAACCCATTTTGAGTTTCAATCGTTTATTTAAATCAAGGGGAGGAGGCATTTAAATCTTAAATCAGACACTTGAACAATCTGATGGTGGATCATTGACAGGCACATTTGCCGAATGATACTTCTTGCGCTATTTTACCCGAGAAAAAAATTGAATGAAGTTGTATAGATGCCTGTATCCATAGTGATCAAACTATGAAATTGGTATGCTTGCATTTGAAATAATGCAATAAGTATTAACATTAGTTCCTTTATATTTTAAAATGAAAAAAGGTGTATTTGGGTGGCTTTCAATACTGGTACCATTGTCTTGCTTGAATGTTAAAAATGTTTGACACTTTTATTTATGATGACATTTTAACGACACTAAACTCTCTTAACCCTTCTGTGTTCCTAACCCTCCCGTTTTCCTAAAACCAAATACATGTACATACAAACTTCTCTATGCGGCATGACTTTGATATAATGATACAAAACGTGGCTATGCTTTACAGTGAGCATCTTTGAGGAATGTTTACCTGGGTAGAACTCACGTGACTACCGGTATTTTAAATAATTTATTCCATGGGTGGGTTCAACATAGCTAGATCATACAGGTAAATCTAAGCTCTTACTTGCTATAGGAAAAACATTGAACTTTTCATACATTTTTTTAATATTTTAAGTACAAGCCTAATCTTGTACAAATTTCCTACTTTCACACAAGTTTTATAAATGTATAATGCATTTTTTGTCAATCACACAAGTTTGTACAACGTTAGGCTGACAATAAACAAAAGCTTTGAAATGAATGACTGTCCTCGATTTACTATAGAAAATCACGAATGTTGGCTGACCCCTACCACATTGTATGGCTTTGCTCTTTGTATATTCATGAATTTCAGCAATAAAATTTGTTGAATTTAGGGTTTAGATATCAATTAATGATCTGAGATGGAAAATTAAGCTTAATTTGATTCTTCATTATTTCACATTTTACCGGGGCCCATAAGTGCACTCGTTCTTTAGTGTTTATACAGGTAAAAAGTTTGAAAAAATAAAAATGTGCCAACAAATGGATTCGAACCAGGACACTAAAAATGTTCATGGTGAGAGTCTGCGGTCTACCATTCTGGGCTATGCTGACTATGAGGACATTTGTAATAAATATAAACCAGTAAGATAGAAATAGGTTTTCACGTTTTTTGTAGTTTTTTTTTTTTTATATAAATCTAAAGCAGGGGTACGTGCCCCTAAAAAAACCTTGTTTTAAATAGTTGCTTAAATCAAAATCTATCAAAATTTCATAATTTAATTTAGGGGCAGGCAAAGGGTGATTATATTGCATCTATCGGGTATAAATTTTCTTATCAGAAAATTGTAGAGATATGCAAGGTTAATTAATGACAACATTTATTTTTCATTTTTGCCTAATACTTTTATGATTTTCACTAATAAATTGATGATTGAAAAAAGCCTTTAATATGACTGCTGATTTTATCTCCATCTGTTAATTTTTAACACCTTTTCTCGTGATTATAGGAGATAGAGAACAAATTATGATTTCTAACATTTACTGTTACAGATCATTTCCTTGAGATAGGTGGAACCAACAGTCAAATCCAGACACCTTTAAGAAAAGTAAAAATCTGACTCAGGTAAAAAAAAAATCATTTACAGTTTTATCAATTAGTAATTTTTACCTTAATTAACTGGACAAATCTCATTTGACGATATACAGGTCAAGAATGAAGAGTTTAAAGCCTAGTAGGGATTTTGGTCAATCATAACAGGTAATCTGCAGCCCCTATTGGGAATTTTACACTCATATGGAGACGCCACCACTTGCCAGTGGAAAGCTGCAAATTCTGTCCTATACTCTGCACTCACAGCCATTGAGCAGTGAGGGTCCTTTTTCCTGCCAGCACCTACTGCGACATGGGACCTCAGTTTATAAGGTCTCATCCGAAGGACTGGTGTCCACATCCCACAGTGGGATTCAAACCTGTGATGTAAGGATCAATTCCTTACTTCGTGACTCTAGAGCAGACGCTTTAACCATGGCGCCACGCTTGTGACTAGCTCAGTTTTAAAGAAATCATTCAAGATATTTTTTATCAAACTTAATATGCTGTAAGATTAGTAAGACCTATTCAACTATTTCAAAAATTTTTGACCTTTCCTGTGACCTTGACCTCACTTTTCTTTAATTTGCATCTTGCATGGTTTTAAACCATTTAAGATATTGTTATCTAAGGCTATGCATCTATACATAATTTGGTGAGAACTTATCATCTATTCATTTTTTTTTAAATTTTTATTTCAATTTTAAAGAAACTTTTCAAGATATTCTCATCAAACTTCATATACTAACACAAAATTTCATGTTGCATTACTATACACTCGGCGGGGCATTCATGGCCTATGGACATATTTCTAGTGTAATTTTCTATTTCTGTTGTTTACTTTCGGTCAGTAAGTGCCCCCAAAGGGCAAGCCCCAGTCCTATTTTCTTTTCCAGGGTTGCAACAGCGCCCCCTAGAAAAACAAGTTGCACCATCCAATCAAATCTTGTTTTGTGCTGCTTTATGCCAATGAAATTAAGGCTGGACAGCATATGTATTATATTCTGACCAATGGGGTTGCTGTATTTTCAAATAATTAGGATAGACTTACCACTTCAGCATTCCTTTCATCACTGAAGTGATATGCATGCTCAAAAATTGACTAAGTTTCATTTTTGTGTCAACTGCAGAGCAGAACGACACTTAGAGATCACTTTACCTGGTGTCTGTCTGTCCGTCTGTCACACCTTATATCTCCAAAATTTTTAGAGGCAGGGTTTTGATAATTAGCATTTATATATGTTTTTGAGCTCATGATACTATACTTTGAAACTGTATGAAATTCAGTTACCACAAACTTATTTAAATACTATGAAAATACATTGGGATCAGTATTCTACAATGAATCGTGTTGACTGACAAAGTGACAAAGTAAAGACAGTCTGAAATCTCTTTCCTCCGAGGATTGTTGGAAGCACCTGCATGTGTATTAATAAAATGATAAATAGTTATTCATCATAATTTCAATTTAATTATTCATTTGAGGACTGGGGAACTATATTTTTTGATTGCCAGATTCTATCCCAGTCTTTTACTTTTGGATCCTTTTTTTTCCTTGCAGGCAAATGCATGAACCTCCATGCTAATATTAAATTAATAGCTGACCACTCTTAGATTTATTTACCTCTTTAATGAAGATACCTAGCAGGCGACATATACATTCCTTGAAGCACTCTAGTTCCTATTTTATTTTCACTAATATAATGATTATTGAAAAAAGACTAAGGTGCTCTATAGTGATCAGTCTATTCATTCATCTGTCTGTCAAATACACATATCCCTTGTTCAGAATACAGGTGACTCTAAATACTTCAAACTTTATATTTTTTAATAAGGTACATGTAGCTGCTTTGGAACATCTGAAAGGTCTATTACATTATCGCTAGTTTTACTAGTTTTCTTCATGTAAGTTGAATATATTTCAAACTTTTAAATTTTTATTTTTGCCAGGTAAGAAAGAAATTCAGTTCTTAAATTGCCCTCAGAGTTCTTGGATTGCATCAAACTGCTAAAAGACCTCAACAAAAACAGTGTCTTGAAAAAAAATGAAAATATTCAGTGAAAAAAAAATTATGAGAGAAAAAGCCACTAAAAATCTTCAAGCCTTTGAGCTGAAATCTGGAAGTCAATCTGTGGACTTTACTGGTATGTCTTACTAATTAAGTCATCATTTGTGTATAATAAATACACTAAACTGTAAACACTTGTTAAAATGTATATAATTTTTAGATATAATTTGTAGCTCATAGACATCAATAGTTTCATGTAATTTAAGTGAATATGAAAATTTCCTGTTGTCTGGCTAGATTAGAAACTATATATTATTGTCCAATTTTGGATATTGTGAAATAATTCATTTAGTAAAATTGGGTATGCATACATGTGTGTACACTTACATGTAAATTAATTGTTATAGCAAATTTAATCTATCATTAAGTTGAATGTTGACTAATGTTTTTCATCAAAATTGTTTACACTGAATTGTTTGTGGATTTTTCCATTTGCCCAATCATGTCAAGGAGCACATGGCAGAAAATGCTTTCTCCTCCATAGCACTTGGTGTTTTTAGAGGTCTGTGTTTGCTCTGCTCCAATTTTGTATTGTTTCAATGGACTTCAAAGCTTGATCACTTTTGGTAATCTTCATATTTTATATACTATTAGAGTACTTGAAGAGAACTGTAAAGATTTAACATACAGTATAATGCATGTATATTGCACTTTAAGTAGAGTGTATGTGGTTTAGAAATGTAATTCATCTCATAGTGCATTGAATTTGTTGAAAATTAGAAACTTTGTTGAAATTGTTTTAGAATAATGTTAGATTGCAGATTTTTTTAAATCATGCAAGTAAGATATTGCTAAATATTCTTAAGCTTTTCTGGACAGTCTAGATGAGTTCTTGCTATATACCTAGCATTGTCATCCCAGTTAAAATTTAAGGAGCAAGGTTTATTCCTAAGCTCTAACTGGACAAACTTGCATGGATTAAAGCACATTAACAGATTTACTTCAGATGCTTGACCTGATCAACATTTTCTTCATGTGTTTTTTGTTTTTGTTTGTTTGTTGTTTAACATCCCTCTCAAGAATTTTTCATCCATATGGAGATGCCACTACTTACTGGTGGAGAGCTGCAAAATTTGACCTATACTTAGCATTCAGGGTCATTGAGCAATAAGGGATCTTTTTTGTGCCCACATCAACTGCGAGGTGGGACCTCGGTTTATACGGTCGAATCTGAAGGACTGGTCCCCACATCCCCAGTGGATCTGAACCTGAGACTTAAGGATTAAATCCTTACTTGCGACTCTAGATTACACACTCTAGCCTTTGCGCCACATGGGGGACTCCACAAGAGTAAGTGTTTTGAGCAGTCCTATTCTCATGTAATTATAAACTGTATGTTGAACAAACCTGCAAAGATGATGTATGTTAATGTTTCAGGGTACCAATCCTTGATTTGACTTAGATTTTCTGGATTAATGACCAGTTTTTTAGAGAAGGTTCATTCAAAGTAACAATATACTCTTTGGTGATCAGTAAACATAGATGATGCATCCTGCTTCTGATGCTGGATGTAACATACATTTTCAGGGTTATTGAGCAGTTAAATCTAACCCAGAACAACTTGCATAGATTTTGGATTCAGGTGATATACATTACCAGAGTGTTTGTTGAGTGAGACTTTGCCTTACTAGTGGATAACATTTATAGAAGTGAGCTTTGTATTCTTTGATTATACCATCAGTGCCAACTACCATACATTTTATATAATAGATGTAGCTGTTGTTCAACTGAATATGATAAAACTGTGGATGAAAATAATTTGATTTTTGTACCTTTGAATGTATTGAATTAATTTGTAAAAGCTGTTATGATACAAAGTTTGATATTTTATCAAAGTTTTTAGCATATGCAATCAATAAATGTATCAACATTTTTATTTTATTATACTTTTTACCCTGCAAACTTCTTAAAAACAGAATAGTAATGATCCATTCAACTGATACTAGGTTAGTGTCACACTGTACTTGTATATCATGTATATTGAACTGTAAATGAGAAACATCTAAATATGTCAAATCACAGCATGAATCATTGGATTATGTAAGAAGTGCACTATCTTGTGCTTTGGTATGGTATTAATAATAAATGTTAAACTATCATTTTTTTTTCAAATTAACAAAGGATATGCTTGAGTGACTGTATTTTGACTAGCAGTAAAAATAAAATGATTTTGAAGCATTTGAATTATTTTGATTCATGGTCTCTGCAAGTTTAATGATAGCAAATATGTATATTGAACATGGCATCTACATATTGCTATACTGGATCTTAATAACAACATTGAAATTTTATGTAGTACATGTACTCTTGGTTTCAACTGGTCAAACATATTCTTAAATCACAAAGAATTTAAACAAATATAGGTATGATTCAGAACTTCATCAATTAGTTGGAAAGTGAATGCACTCAATGACTATATGGTTTAAAAGAAGCTGGGTATAAATAGCAGGAAAAACTACTTGATTTCCACTGTGAACTTTGTGTCCTCAACAAAACAATATGGAGTATACTATACTTGGTCTAAAGAATAAGTCTAATCTATGTCTGCATGTCTATGTCTGCATTCACTTTCAGGTTAAACTGTATTGGACATTGAGAGTTTGTTTGTTGTTTAACGTCCCTCTCGAGAATTTTTCACTCATATGGAGACGCCATCACTTGCCGGTGGAGAGCTGCAAATGACCTATGCTCGGCACACAGGGCCAATGAGCAGTGAAGGATCTTTTTCATGCCAGTATCTACTGTGACACTGGACCTTGGTTTGTACGAAGGACCGGTCTCCACGTCCCACAGTGGGATTCAAACATGTGACATAAGGATCAACTCCTAACACGGCAACTCTAGAGCATAGGCTCTTACCACTGCAACATGTGGGCGACAGCATTGAGAGTTAATTGTGGATATCAGAACAAGCTACTCTGGGCTTATACTCTCTATATATTGATTGATTGATTGATTGTATGTTGTTTAGCGTCCCTCTCGGGATTTTTTCACTCATATAGAGACGCCACCACATGCCAGTGGAAAGCTGCAAATTTTGTCCTATACTCAGCACTTACAGCCATTGAGCAGTGAAGGGATTTTTTCGTGCCAGCACCTACTGTGACACGGGACCTCGATTTATGCGGTCTCATCCGAAGGATCGGTCTCCCCAGCCAACTGTGGGATTTGAACCTGCGATGTAAGGATCAACTCCTTACTTCTCTACTCTAGAGCAGACGCTCTAACCACTGCGCCAGGGGGGCAACTACTCTCTATATAAGTCACTTGTGCAATGACTTTAGTTTTATATTCAAGATTTTGTACTGATCATGTTGAGTCACATTAACACAAATATCTTTCTGCTGAGCTTGACCAATGACCATCCGCAACTATTCTGGTTGGAAACAATATGTTAATTAATCCATAATCAGTGAAATTACTATGAAAGAAAAATGGTCTACTTAAACCACAAGTTATATGTATAAAAGTATACACTGGTCTCCTTAAGTCATATGAGAGAAACATAAAATATTAGGGAGACCATTTTTTTCATATATTTTTAGGAGGCATTTATAATGAAAAAATAAAGCAAGAGTCGACTAAATGGTGTTCTATAGAACATTGATCTGGTATTTCTTTTTAGAAAAAAGCAAATTTAAAAAATCTGTATATTGTCTCCTTAAGCCATATATAATGTTCTGGTCTCCCTAGTCCTTAAATCAGAGTTATATATATATATATATATATATATATATATATATATATATATATATATATATATTGTGGTTGTAATGGTTGTAACGCTGTATTTGATTGGATAAAAAATTTACTTTATATCGTATAAAATGGGTTGCCTACGTCACAATGACTTGCGTCAAAAACGTATCGATCCTCCTGACGTTACATTCAAATTTTGTACAAATTGAATTCATTTTTTAAGGACAATCATCTTTTTTTCTCACACCAAATGAATGAAAATTAAATTATGAGGAATGAATTCAATAGGTACCCAACTTATACGGTATAAACTGGGTTGGAACAGTTTACGCTTTTTTTGTGAACCGCTTCGCGGTTTTTAAAGCGTAAACTGCCCCAAACCACTTTATACATGTACCATATAAAATGGGTAACTCCTTAAATATATATAATTTCGATATTGATTTTTAATTCGTTTCCTCTTTTTCAAAACATTCCAAAAAAAAAAAAAAACTTACAAAGATATGTTCCAAAGAATTAAATTATTAAATACAATGTAATATGCTTTTTAATTTACTTCTTTCCTCGATTTTTAAAGCTTATTTATGTTGAAAAGATCTAGTGCATCAAAAGTCGTATATTCGGAAAAAGAGTTTATAGGGCAATGACAATAAATTGCAAAAACGACAAATAGCAGCATCCAAAACATAAATTAGTCGATATGCAGGTTCAAATTGGCAGATTTTTTAAGCAGCCAATGAAGCTTGACATTTTGACCCAGTAAAGTTTTCATTTTTGCTAAAGGTAGAGAGTGCACGTATTTAATGAGTGGCACGTCAATGTGCATCAACCTGCATCGTTCCGGTAACTTGTGAAACAGAGAATTTCGGTTTTGTCAATGAAAAGTAAATTTGTTCAACATGGTCTAGTTCGTTAAAAAAAACCACTTTACTACATGTACATTCTGCGTGGTTATGTTCACGTTGTATTCACTGACCACCCAATGCGCACAGACGACGATACATGACCGATAGTTTGTGTAAATTGTAAGATTGTACGATTAGATCACCAGCGTCGTGGAGTTTCTCCCACGCACGAATGAGTGAGTGTTACTTTCATCGTAACTGAATCCAAGCAATTAGTAGAGGAAATCTCTCTCTCTCTCTCTCTCTCTCATATTAATTTAAGCGCTACTGATGAAACGTATAATATTTTTCCTTCTTGTTTAATTTAATTTATTAGTCTTCGTGGGTCTTTTTTACGCTTTTAAACAATAGTGAACAACATATTTCTTAAATCCTGAATCTCCTCGCTCTAAATTGTTAGGGTACATAAAAAAACTCACAGAAATGTGGTGAAAATGTAACAAAAAATGTTTTTTGTTTGAAAATTTTGAACGATTTAATACGTAAATTTTTAACTTTCGATACATACGTGTACATGTACACGTATGTTATACCACAATTTCTGTATCACACTTTATAGGTAATACATGTACATGTACAGATACTAGCAATTA